TTTTGTAAATTGATAAACATAAACAATTACAATATATATTTTTGAAAACATTCTTACTTTATGGCATTTTTTCACACCTGCCTAAAACTTTTGCACAGTACTGTAGGTCAGCAGTAGTCATCTGGAGCTTAAATGAGGGAAAACTAAATGTTAGCAGTTTTCCTACCTAGTTACTAGATGTGTTTCATATTCACCAAGGATGAATAAGGTTGCACTTTAGTTTTTCCTTGGTGAGCAATATGAGTGAAGGAAGCCCAAATAATCATCTCTCAAGAAATTTAGGGCTTTAAAATATAAGGCCAACACTTTGAACTTGGTCTAGAACCCTCTTGATGTGTAAAGATAGTTATGTCTTAATTGGTAAATGATCATATACATTCTTAGTATATTTAAAATGGATGTGGATGATGGAGGTAGTAAGCTGAAATCACGCACTTTTGATTAAGATTTAGTTTTAACTCCTTTATTTAAATGCTTCAGTTGAGAATGCTTTCAGTTGTAAGTGCTGTAAAAATACTTATTGAACTATTTTTCCTCCTTTTTCTTTAGCTACGAAATATGACTGTCATACTGTTAGAACAATTCATCTTAAATCACAGCAACTCAGATGCAGTGATAACTCACTTTTTGAACTCTAGTGACATCTCTATAAGGCCTTTTGGAACCAAGTGAAACCAACTCTGTGCAGTGTCTGTTCCTGGGCAGCCCATCTGGCTCCAGTACTGCATACTTGTTTGACTTTCAATGCCTGTCTTTTCATACAGAGCTTTATGAAGGGGTGTCTTCCTTTTTTTGCTGTTGTTGTTGCTGCAGTTGATATCTCCTTTCCTATTAGTTGTTGCTTTGATTCTTAATTATTTTGGTGCTTTTGCTGCTTATTTGCTCCCTTTATTATTTGCAATTATATTGTTATCCTTATATAGTGCCTTTATTTGGTTAGAAACTGATTTTGCTGCTTCTGCAGAAGAGCAGTTGGGAACATTGTTAAAATGGAGTTCTTATCCTGTCTCAAGAAACCAATGGTGGGATTAACAGGAGGAGAAGGCTCAATGTCAAGAGTTTTAGACATTATAACTTTAATCAGTATTTGATTTTTGATCAAATTGGAATGTGAGTGATAAAGGAAGAGCAAGCCCAATGAGTCCTTTGATGTCTCAAGAATATAGTTCAGATGAAAACTGGATGGATGTGTTTTCCCCAATATCTAGCTCTCTCACCTGGGAATCCATTTGGAATCACATGATCCAGTATAGATAACCCTTTCTGAAGTAACCTGTCTCGTCCAATTCAACACTTGTCTCTTGGCATGGCTGTTCAAGAGGAAAAGCATCAACCTAGCAAACCTGGGAGCGTTAATTAATGCTATGAAGTCAGAGATGCAGGTAAAAGTACAGGCTGGAAGGAGACAGCTGGAGCCTTATTGCCTGTCTTTCAAGGAGAGCAACTTTGATTAGACCTTCCTAGTGCTTGATACTCCTATAGCGCATTCCGAAGGCAATCAAGGTAATGGACAAGGAAAGAGTGGGCCAGAGCTGTAACTGAAGGCATTTCCCCTGGGCTGAGAGAAGATCCTTACATATTTAACCCTTTGGAGGAGCAGCAAGGAAAGCCTCTGTGCAGGTACTATTTAATTAGCTTCATCTGGGATTCTACCCAGTCCTGCAAGCTTTTTAATATACTGTATGCTAATTAATATCCTCCAAATCTATGGGGAGACAGAATAGAGCATTAGATATAATGCTTTTAAATTTAGCTTGAATGCTACAGGGTGGGGAATAAGGTACAGAGTTAAGTGTCTTGGTAGAGATGCCACAAATGACATCAGTGAGTGAACTGGGAATTTCAACTAAATATGGCAGAATAATTTTGCTCATTATTGTTTACTGTGCTTGATGGTATAGTGGACATACAGTAGTCCAGTCCTGTGCACTAATGATATAGATTGATCAAGAGTCTAAATATACTAAAGCCAGAAGTGACCAGACCCTTTTTCTTGTATTACACAGATATAGAAAGATCCTAATTCAGCCATGAAGCTCATTTGTGCCCAGTTACTCTCTCAGCCCAGTCAGTCACAAAAGGCTGATGCAAGGATAAAATGGGATAGAAACTAAAGCTATGAACTGCCACAGTGAACTCTTTGGAGGGTGAGTGAAATAAAGTAACATAATCCATAAAATAAAAATGCTATGACAACTCTCAATAGGATAGAAGGCTGGTCTACAAATCTGGTTTAGATCTGTTAATAATGGACAGGAACTAAAATCTAATAGTCAACAGTAGAAATAAACAGTGAGGCTTCTTTTTTATATATTACCTTCCTGTGGCGTCCAAGTTTATATGGGAAGACTGGAGGATTCTGAGGTAAGGAAGAATGCCTTGGAAGAGAATATGCAGAAAACCATTGTTACAAAGAAAATTGAAAGTCATTAACTTTTTGCCAAATTGTGCTATGGAATTGAGATTTCAATTGAGAGGCTGTGGAAGTACAGGTAGTCCTCAACCTACGACTATTCGGTCAGTGGCTGTTCGAAGTTATAACAGTGCTGAATGAATGGTGGTTACGACTGGTCCTTGGAATTCTGGCCATCCCAGCAACCCATGGTCACGTGATTGCAATCTGGGTGTTTGGCAACCAGTTTGCACTTATGACCGGCTGCAGTGCCCTCCAATCATGTGATTGCTATTTGTAACCTTCCCTGCTGGATTCCCCAGAAAGTCAATGGGGAAGCTGGCAGGGAAGGTCGCAAGTCACTGGGATAAGTCCCCCACCTGTGCACCTTCCTCCAGCCCCTCTGCATTCACGCTGTGCTGGCCACTTGCATATCCCCACATACCCTCCCCAACCCACACCACACCCCCACACACCCTCCCTGACCTGTGCTGTACCCCTGCGCAGCTTCCCCGACTCTCACAACTCTCACACACCCCTTGCACTCTCCCTGACCCACTCTGCACCCTCATGCATCCTCCCTGACCTGCACCACTCATGCACCCCTTCACACACTCCCCGGCCCACACCGCACCTCTCATGCACCCCCACGCACCTCCTCACTCCTTCTCCCACCCAGCAGCAGCCACTTACCTGCCTGCTGGCCTGGGACTAGCAACTTCTTGCTGGCTTCCCCACTGACTTTGCTTGTGGGAAGCTGGCAGGACATTGCCTTACCTAACGACTATGGGATTTGGTTAACAACAGCAACTTGGACTGCAGGGATTGCCGTCACTAAGCGATGCAGTCATGCTTTACAACCGCATTGCTTAGCAATGGAAATTCCAGTCCCAATTGCCATCGTAAGCTGAGAATTACCTGTATGATAAAAAGGCAGGTTTGTATTTTAATCTTCATTAAGTTTTA